AGTCCTTTAACCTTGTATATGGTGTGTGTTATTCATACATACATACTTTATACATGCAGTATGCAGTCCTTTAACCTTGTATATGGTGTGTGTTATTCATACATACAGACTTTATTCATGTAGTATGCAGTCCTTTAACCTTGTATATGGTGTGTGTTATTCATACATACAGACTTTATTCATGTAGTATACAGTCCTGTAACCTTGTATATGGTGTATGTTATTCATACATACAGAATTTATTCATGCAGTATGCAGTCCTTTAGCCTTGTATATGGTGTGTGTGTGTTATTCATACATAGAGACTTTATTCATGCAATAAGCAGTCCTTTAACCGTGTATATGGTGTGTGTTATTCATACATACAGACTTTATTCCTGCAATAAGCAGTCCTTTAACTGTGTATATGGTGTGTGTGTTATTCATACATACAGACTTTATTCATGCAGTATGCAGTCCTTTAGCCTTGTATATGGTGTGCGTTATTCATACATACAGACTTACAATAAGCAGTCCTTTTTACCTTGTGTAAGATGTGACTAATTATAAGTATCAAGAATGGAAGGATTTAACAAAGTAACATGGTACAGTTTTTCAGGTCATTCTCTATATGTATTTAAAATATTCAGTTGTAATTTTTCAGTTTTTATTATATTTATCCAGTTGAAGTATGCAACTAAATATTTTGTTTTTGTGTGTTTTTTGTGTAAAACATTTAGTCATAGCATCATATTAGATAGATCAATTTCTTATTTATCAGCATTGAGAAAACCTACTGGACTGTTAGTTTGATAGTATGTTTTAAATATTCCTACAGAACTTATGGCTCCGGCAAGGAACTGTTGGGTTTATTTGTGCTGTGGCTAGAACACTTAACCTTGCTGATGTTCACTGTAAATTGGCACCACTTCTTCAACCATTTCTTCAGCAACAGATTATACAAGTTGACCAAGAGGTAATTGTATTTGTTAATGTTTTTGTGTTTGTCAGTACATTATGTTTTCTGTTTTTGCCGATGTAAAAATGTTATTTTTCTATCAAGTAGGGAGTTATATGCTTTAATATAAATTTATTTTCCATGAGTAATCATCGTGTATCAAAGTTTCGAGTTTTTCTTTTTATCAACTACGTTTTAAGTGATTTGTTTTATATCTCAAAGTTTTCTTCCACTTATACCTGTCTTTATATAAAGTGGTGATTTGTGTCATAAAACTAATATCACAGAGAGTACATGTGATTTGGCATGTTAACCCTTCTTTTATGTTGAGAATTTGAGTACACCTGCTATGTTTTTGGTTATTTTGACCCAATGCTTTATGTTTGCATACAAGGTAATTTGTAAATTATAAATATATATACATATATGTAAACATCTCAAAGTTCTCACTATCTCTTATTATAACTTTGTAACTCAAGTCTAGTAGAGAGAAAAGTAACATTTAAGGGGAATGGAAACCAATCAAATAGAGCAAAAACATAATTACAAGTTCACTTGTAATCCATGTACATCAGATGTGTATCACATGCTGTATGAACCAAAAATAAGTATTTACTACAAGTTTTACTACAAGTTCTTCATATGATAAAATTGTATTTTTATTTTATACTTCTATCAAAGCTACTAAAGCCTATCTGCCACAGTATGTATTTCTAAACTACTGACCAGAGTGAAGGCAGCCACCATCCAACCACCCACCTTCCAAACTAAGGTGCTCACTGTTACACATATAATGTACCCACAGCTTCAAGTGAAAAATATATATATTGTGATATTTCATGGATTTAAACCTGGGTTCCCAGTTCAAAAATCCAGAGATCTACCACTGGGATAATGTAAACTGACATATTTCTCATTAACAGCTTAGTTAAATTTCAACAAATGATTAAAATTAACCAAATAATTATAAGTTTGTTGTTTAGTCTGTATATACTTGTTATCAAATCTATATATATATATATATTTTATATCACAAAACCTTATTTTGCGTGGAAAAAAATCTTGTACTGGAAACCTATTATAGGTTAGTAATATTTCATGAAATCACAAGAATTAATTCTGTAACAACTACAGCCTAATTACTTTATCACTTGATTAAAATGTTTGTATAAAGTAAAAGAAAAGATTTAAATAATGATGCTATTTAATTGTATTATAATGATGAAATATGTAAGATAATTTCAACGAAGCATGACTAAACATCGTAATATGCCTTACTTGTACTTTCATAGATACAGTGTAGTTGTCAACTAATCATTTTAATAAAAGAGAAATAGATTCCCCATACATTAAACAGGGTTAAAAAAATATCTGAAGGTGATGTCAGAATCTAATGTTAAATTTCAATGTACAGAAACCAGTAAATGTATAAAGATCATGTTGGGTGATACTGATAATGTTCATAATTTTAATAATAAAATGTAATTTAGGTCATATAGATTCTACCACTAGGATGATACAAACACATACATAAGAAGGCAAATTTAAGATCCACATCATATGCACTATACAGTTGTAGTGAATAAAGAAAATAGTAAAATATTGCCCACTTGATAATTAGCAGGAGTTAAAAATAAAGTCTATTAATTGATAAACTTAAAACAAGGTTAAATGAACAGAATAGTACAGTTTCCCAGGATAACTATATTGATACTGTACATTTGATGTTTGAGAAAAAATTTATTCTACACTCTGACTTAACTGCATATCTCAATTCTACATGGAGATAATTATGATGAATTATTTTTCTTAACTGGTTTCTAATCTCTGTTGCCTGCTTTTTGGTATATGGTAAAACAAAAGTAAGATTTGGCTTTGCTACTTCCCATGCTGACAATGCAGGAAGGACCCTCTTATTTAATTTGATTTATAACATTCGTTGGAAAAGGATTTTTTTGTTAAGAATTCCTTAATGTTTTCTGCCTTTACTGGTTAACTTGTTAGATCGTTTGCCGGTGGGACATTGGTAAGTCTTCAGATTTATAATGCTAAACTCATGGGTTCGATTCCCCTCGGTGGACACAGCAGATAGCCCAATGTGGCTTTGCTATAACAAAACACACACAAATTCTATGGTCAATGAACCAGTATTTTTATGAAGTTTTTCTTAAAAGATAATGGTATCAAATTTTTCAAGTAAAGTTCTTTTTGTGAAAATTTCACATTCAGATTTTCCATTATTGTTATGAAAAAGTAAGTCTATGATTATGTTGGTGTTTAGCAGTTAATTTAATATTAGTACATTTACTGTTGAGGTAGCTTAAAAAACTCTCAACATGTTCAACCTCTGTAAAAATAATAAAAATATCATCAATATATCTTCTATAATATATTGGTTTGAGTTGTACAGGATGGTCCTGAACCACTTTTATCATAATGATAAAAAAATATATTTGAAAATGATAGGGCTAATGTTGACCCCATACACAATTTCATTTTTAAACAGAAAACGAAATTACTTACAGGTTCTTGAAACGATGTTTGGAAATCTCATTTGATCATTATCATTATTGTAGAATAATTCTATGTATATACTAAGTTTCATGTCATGATATGCTGGTATGTAAAGATTCCATATCAAAGCTAGTACAGTGCATTTTTTATTGAAACTTAAATTTTGTATTTTTTGTAAAAACTCAAAGCTTTTTTTATGGTATAAAATTGTGTATTGTGTGCCTTTTTGTATTAAGATTTATTGTATGTTTTAGATTTCCAAAAAAGAAGTCAAATGGCAACCTGAAAAATATTTTCTATAGAAGACTATACAAACTAAGGAAACACGTTAATATAACTATTATTTGATGTTTATTCTAGTATGTTTCATTTTAAGTTCAGGCTTTTCTTGAATCACTGTTTGTGTGAATTGAGCTATTTGTATAGGTTTTGGGAAGTCTGTAAAAAATTACACAATAGTCAAAAGTCCTGGAAATGTAAAATTCATTCACAAAAATAATTTTATTTTATATCTCCATATAAAATATTTTTGTTCTTGTCAACTTTTTTTTACTCACTTGAACAGCAGGGGCGTAGCGCCTGACTTTTAAAAATTATACGCATGAGATTGGTCCATAGTAATAACAAAAACAATGATTTGGCTCAAAATGTATAATATACATTAAATATAACTCCTTGATGACAGCATTAATGTCTTCATCAATATTTTGGTGAATATGGAGAAGAGCAAGGCTGGTCAGTCGTTGATCAGTCATTTGGCCATGTAGATATATCTTCACGCAGTGGAGAGTGCTGAATGAGCACTCAGCAGTGATAGTGTGGACTGGCATGGTTAGCAGAGTGTGAAGAATGACGTGGATGTTCAAGTACAGTCCAGCGGGTGACAACAGTGTTGGGCAGGCTAGAGGACGTCTGAGAATTTGATGTGTCAGTGTAGTACCTCCAGATTTATAGTTCTATGTCAGCTGATGTAGATGATGGAAGAAGAAGCCTGTATTCTTCTTTGATCTATCAATTATTAATAAAGTCTGGGAGGCTATACTGAACACACAGATGGGGTAGGGCCTTGCAGACTCTGTCCTCAAGTTCAGTGTTGAGATGGTTGATTAAAGGCAAGTAAACATTGAGTTACCAGTAGTCCCTGGGGTCAGATGCAGGTGTGTTTGAGTGCTGAGTCTGTCATCGTACAGTATAAGGAGCTTTGGGAGACACATAGTATCAGCAAATTCACATGCTGTGGTCCCCATGCAGTTGTAGAAGGTGGCATCTCCTTGTTTTTTCTGAAGGAAACTAGTGAGTGTCTGTGCTTGTTGGAATGCACTGATGAAGTCACAGTTTTCACTCCGGAGCATATTACAGAGTGACATTTAGAACTTCAGAGGATGCTGCTGATGTGGAGGCAGATGATGAAATCAAATGCAAGGATGGAGTGGAGAAATGATGAAGCGTCTTGACTATATTTCTCTTCACAGGAAAACGTGCAATGACCCGGTCGACGCTTTCACTTCATTGGGTCCATCTTGTCTCAGAACTTTGTCAGCAATGGGTCACTGGTGGATGGCAGCGATGTAGTCTGGAGACATTGTGGTGAGACAGTAATGAAGTTCAACAGCTGGTCAGCTGTGTTTACATGTTTCGGGTGGGAACAACCTTGCAACTATGGAACATGTGTAGGTTTAGGTTGTGACTGTTGCAGTGGATGTAACTGGCTAAAGGATGTAGCTCTTTGAAATGCATCTGTACACCACTAATATGACCAGACATATTACCTGTGTCATTGTATCCCTGGCCCACCATTTTGTGGAAGCTCTGCAGCTGGTTAAGGATATTGTACATCAGATACTATGTGTAGGTTGTTTGTCGCATGTTGACAAAAGGTAAAAAGTATTCTCAGCACTGGAAATTGGATGGAGGCGCAAAGTGCAGACATATAGCTACTTGCTCTGTGTTACTGACGTCAGCACTCTTATCGGCAATCAGTTAAAAAGCCAACTTGACGACAGGATGCAGTGATGACATTCTCAATTTGCTGGCCACACAAATTCACCACTTCTTTCTGCACAAGGGGGCTAAAGTGGGATACATTCTTCTGTACCACTTCTAAGTGTTGCTGAAGTGCAGAGTCTGTTTCAGCTCAGTACTTAAGAAGAACCATGAAGTTGTCACGGTCATCATCATGGCCACTGATGGTGATGTTCTGCTGGATACAAAGAACAAGGGCTTTGATGATAGCAGATATAATGCTGCAGTCTGTATGCCGTGGACAGTGACACCACGATGTTCTTCTGATTGCCATAACAGACATCCAGGAAGGAGCTTCCTTGCTGTCTGATGGCCCCAGGACACTGTGTGAATTGCCACAACCTTCTTGTCATTGTTACAATCTGTCAGTGGACATCAAATGAGGTGCAAGTCACAATCAGCTTTTCCAAAAGAAGGAGCACAGAAAACACAATCTACATGGTAACTATATCTCAATGTCGGAAATGTATCTGAATAGAAGAAATCTTGTGGACGTTTGCCCTTTCCTACTTGACAAAATGGGGTGGTCCAGGATTTATGTGGAACTAATCTATGAACAGCATGTGTAAGAATATTTCTTTTATTCTTGTAAATTTTCTATGGTGCTGTAGTATGTACATTTTAAAGAGTAGTTGATCACACATCACGCTTTGCTAGCACACCCTAAGACATTATATATATTGTAAATGTTTAATATAAATAGTGTTTCGATTGAAGTATTATGTGTTGTAATGCTGCAGACCTGATGACCTCTGGTATTAGTGAAAGGACTTATCCCATTAAGTATTTTCATATTTCAGTTTCAACAAACAAAAGCCAAATATACCTCTTATTTATAATAAATCTCTTGATACAGTTTGTTGATTAATATAAAATTTATTATATTTCAAATAATAAGCATTTGCCCATTCTTGAAAATTGTGGATCAGTCAAAAGTGGATACAGCTAAAATCTGTCAAACTCAGACTCATGTAGTATTTTAGGTAAATTGAGAAGAATTGGTTCTAAATTTTTAACATGCCTTTTCTGTACACAGAATCTATTATTGATAGGTTTGTTATCTTTAATTCTGGGCAAAGTAATAAGCTCCACTGGAAATATATATATATAGATTATATATGTAAGTAAGTAATGCAAATATTAAAACATTTAACAATAAAGAAAGTCAGCTTTCGTATTTAGTGTTTGAAATACGAGATAATTTCCTGTTGCATTGTTTTCTGTGTACTTATAAGCTTTGTATTATTATACGTGTATAAATTTTCTTCATCAAATTTGTTGCTTCTCAATTGATTGATCATAGGGAGGTTATTATACTTAATTTTTATAGTTTACAAGATAATTAAAAATTTGAAAATTTAAAATAGGAATAGGAATTGTCAAAAAAGTACAGAAACAAGGTGAATCAATAATGATATGAAGAACAAAGGGATGAATTTTGTCTAACAATTGAAAAATCAACTTTTTTGCTATTATCAATATTTTAACAGCCTTTAGAAAGTTTTTGCCTATATGTTCTATTACAATTTTTGTGAAATTCATGGGTAAATCCATTTATGAATGACTGTCACAATTTATGATAACTAGTTCTTAATAGCTTGGCATATACAATGATTTAAAGAACCTTTTTTGTGGCAATTCTGTTATTTTATTTATATTATATAATTTTGATGTATATTTTTGTTTCTACAGTTCTTGTTGTTGGTTTTAACAATTTAATTTCTGAAAAAGTTAGCTACAGAGTTTTTTTTTATTAAATTATATTTAATACAACTGAAGTACTCTTGATGCTAATGATATGTTATTGTATTGTGTGTGTTATGTGGTTGGTTTAATAGAACTAATATTTTCTTTCATGGCTTATATTTGATTTCTATTATCAGGTTGTCTTGTTAGATGCTGTGAAAACTCCAGTATCACGAGTCATGTTTGACTACCTTGTGAAGCTTCCCAATCTTCCCATGTTACTGGAAAGTCTGAGAGACAGACAGATTCTCCGATCTATAATACGCAGTGGCCATCAACTTGCATATGGAGATATGGATGATGGATTAAAATCAGTGAGTTTTTAACATTCTATTTGCAGAGAATTGTTAGTCGATAAATAAAATAAATATGAAAACTAAGCATCTTTCTGGAATTCAACTCGTGTGTTTTATCCATGGGTGGGTTCTTTTGGACTGTTGATAAAAATAATGAAAGGTCCAGTCCATGTAATGACAATGAATTAATATGTTTCATCAAAAACATTTTCTACAAATATTGATCATCAGTAGGTCTAATTTCATAAACAGTCTTTGAAGAGAAATTCTAAAACTAGTGGTATGCACACCTGACTTGTAAACTTGAAGAATTTGTCTATAATAGTGATGCTGATTAACTATCTTACAAAAGGAATCAAAGATGCACAAACTTTTACTGTTTAATTCACTAACTGACATTGAACTGAATAAGTCATTAACTCACTCAGTCATTTTGTGTCGTAATAAGAAGCTTCAAGATTCTTAGAGACCTTAACTTTCATGAAATTTTTAGACCTTATGTCATCATTATGTAATAACATGCTCCCTTTAGCAAACAGACATCAAATTTTAAAATATTAAAAATATAGTTTAAAACAATATGATTGTGAAAAAATGGGTTTTTACAAAAGATTAATGTTCTGTTGTAACTATTGTATTTTAGGTTTATCGCCGTTTACAGTCAGATGGACTGACTGAAGTCATTGAAGATAAAATATTGGTAATTATAAAACCTTTGTTTGCTTTTTGATGTTTTAGAATGTTTTGGAATCTTGAAATATTTTTAGCCTAGTGGAAACATATTGCTGTTTCTGTATTTGCATTCATAAAAATTGATAACTCATCAGCCTCACTATAACTAAAACACAGACACTTAAAACAAATATAAATAGATGATATTTTTATGTTGTACATGTTTTTCAACTGGACAGGGTTACATCCACTGTAGTTTCAAAATACCAATGAGAGTTTTACTAAAGCAAAGTATTGAGCAGTGAAATTTTCACCCTGTTATTTGTTTAAGTTTTGTAATGAATTCATCCCCAAAACTTAGCTTTGATAGGAACTAACCTGGCAAGTTCACCACATGCAATCACAAGTACAAATTAATCTCTGCAGACCAAGTGACTTAGTTCATCACATGCAATTACAAGTACAAATTGATCTCTGCAAACCAAGTGACTTAGTTCACCACATGCAATCACAAGTACAAATTGATCTCTGCAAACCAGGTGACTTAGTTCATCACATGCAATTACAAGTACAAATTGATCTCTGCAAACCAAGTGACTTAGTTCACCACGTGCAATCACAAATACGAATTAAAATAATTTTCTAAAATATAACTGTCTTATCAGTGCTAAGCAGTTATTTCAATTTGAACTTTATATCATGTTTCATACTACTCAATAGTACTTGGGCTACAGGTAGAACAGTGTGTAAAACCTTTCATAATCCTTGAACCTTTGCTCTAAACACAATGAACTGCTAATTGCATTATCAGTATTTCCACTCTCAGCTTTCCAAGTGACTTATTATAGTATGCATTATACTTAAAGTTTTCTTTGTAGTTTCCCTAAAACTGCATTTTTGTTACCTCTGCCTTTATTTGTGTGTGAGTGTTTGTCAGCAAGATTTCTCAAAAATGACTGAATAGATTTGGACTAAAGTTGGTATACTTTTGGACTATGGCACAACTTAGAAGTGATTAGTTTTTGGAGGGTCAAATGTCAATGTCTCTGCAAGGTTACAAAAATCCAAAAAAATCTTTATCTGTTAACATGGGGACCAATTTTTCACACTATTTGTGCTCTATAACTAGGTCATAAATGATCGATTTTTGATGAAACTTGATGGACGTACGTAGAATATTATTCCTCCTTGTCCTGCCAAAAATGATCCATTTCCGTTGATAATCATGGACTATTCAACATTTTTGTATTTTTTTTATCAACACTGTGTGGCAAATAGTCCATCATTATCAACGAACATGCTCAG